GCAGCTGGCCCTGGAAGCGGGGTCCCTCTTCTGCACGCCAAGGCCGGCTCCAAAGGAGCGAAGCCTCTCCGCCGCCATGGAGCCGTCCAGCTCGGCCCGGAGCCAGTCAGACTCCCGTAGAGCTGCTTCGGCTCGCAGACGCTCTGCGTCAGGAAGGCCATCCCCAGAACTCGCAGCAGCTGTGGAACACTTGCTGTTTGCGCCTACAAACATGTTCTGACGGTTTTAAAGTCACGCTTGCTCTGGAAATAGCCAAGAACCCACGCAGAATAAGGCGAACGCTCCAAGCTTCCCCATATCCAGGGGAAAACGCTGTTGACAAAACATCCTTTTTTGAGTGCTTCCCGTCTGTCGCGCAAACACGCTGACAAGAAACACAATCTTCACAATCCCCGGGAGCAGGTTAAAAGGTAAGCAACCGTCACCAAAAACAAGCGCTTTTCCTCCTGTTCGCGCGAATGTTGGACAAGAAACAAAGTGCTTTGAAACCATGCCTCTGCGCTGGTGCCGAGTGGACACAGAGATCTGATCAAGACAGGCGTGCCAGCTGGGTCTTCTTGTGCGCTGCTGGCTGCGACGGGTCCTCTGCGAAACGCTCAGGCTGGCTCTGCAGCTGGTTGAAGTTTTACGCTGTCATGAGCCATCCAGGCCTGTCTGGTCAGTCAGAACCTCGTGCTTCTGCTTCGGCTCGCAAGTGCTGTGCATCGGGAAGACCATGCCCAGAACTCGCTACAGCTGTCGAAGACGAAGTGGCCTGCGCTCTTATCACATAGTTCTTGAACACGCACAAAAGAGTAAGGCGACCAGCCTCTTACATTCAGGGAAACACTGTTGACAAAAACATTCTTTCGAGCAAGCCCTCCTCTGTCCGCTACGCGCGCTGAAAGACACGCTCCGGTATCTCAAGGCTTGTCGTGAACAAGTGCCAAAAGAGCTAAGCAAGAAAACTAAACTTGTGGGGTCTACTTGTAACTGCGAAACCATGCCTCTGCGTCAGGTCGCGAACGTAGAGCTGCAACCACGGCTTCAAGCAGCTGCTCTTGGAAAGCCGACTACCAGATGCGGGATCCCTCTGCTGCACGCCGAGGCCAGCTGCGAAGGCACGAAGCTTGTCCAGCTTCATCGAGCCATCCAGCTCAGCATGGAGCCAGTCTTGACCATGTACTGCTGCTTCAGCCCGTAAATGCTCAGCATCAGGAAGAGCATCCAAGGGATTCGCAGCCTGCTGCGCGCGCTGAAAGACACACGGTGGAAACCAACAGCGCAAGCCAAAAGTGGATATTCCAAGAAACCAAGAGGGGTATGCGAAACAATCGTGCGCTCTCGCACGCCAACGTCCAGCCTGCGCACGCCAACGTCCAGCCTGCGCACGTCGCTGGCAACCAGAATCCGACATGGCAACACGACACGTCGGAAATACCCGCCAGCGCCGCGCGACTCTGATATCTTCTGGCCACCCGCTGTGTGTAACTGCTTTGACAAGATTGGTGCGCCAAGGAAACGAATCCGCACTTCGGAAGATGCGATCTGAGCGATGACACCTTCTACAGTACTAACACGGAGGACTGCAACTTGAGCATGAATGCACGTGCAAGCAGCAATGACAAGCGACAGCAACCTCATGGAGCACCCCTCCAAAAAATGAAGCATAACACCAACACAAAGAAGCCGTGTCGCCCTAATCAACTGTCGCCGCAAACATTCTCTGGGCAAGCTCCGCTACTGAGACACTCATGACATCCAAGCTTCGGCTACTATTGCTCTTGTCAGCTGCCTATCACTCCAAATCCAACTGCGCATGTTTATTTTACAAGCCAATTACAAAAGCCAACTGCCCAATCTCACTTCACAAGCCAATGACAACTGCCAACTGCCCAATCTCACTTCACAAGCGAAATGCACTGTCCCAAAACACAAGCCAAATTTTCGAGTGTTACTTCACTATCCTCCCAAAACACAAGCCAAATTTTCGAGTGTTACTTCACTATCCTAAAGCGCAAGCTAACTTCTCGGGCGTTTCTTCGGCATCGTAAAGCGCAAGTATTCGTTTTCAGGCGTTACATTGCAAGCCGACTTTTCCTTTTCTACCATCTCTTCTCGATTCTGAGTTCTTTCTTCTTTTTCCGGCGGAGCTGGGGAGACGCTCTCCGCGCCGAGATAGGTCCGCAAGTGCTTTGTGCAAGTGCTCTGTGCAAGTTGCTCTGCGCAAGTAGCTCTGCGCAAGTTGCTCTGAGCAAGTGCTGCCGGAGCTGTGGGAATGTACTTCGCGTACTATTTTTTTGTACTTAAAAGTTGTGATTTTCCAGCCGGAGCTGCGGGAGTGTGCTCCGCGTACTACGTTTGTACTTAAAAGTTGCGATTTTCCAGCCGGAGCTGCGGGAAATAGCTCCGCGTACTAAGTATGTACTTAAAAGTTGCGATTTTCCAGCCGGAGCTGCGGGAGCACGCTCCGCATACTACGTCTGTACTTAAAAGTTGCGATTTGCCAGCCGGAGCTGCAGGAGCACGCTCCGCGTACTACTTCTGTACTTAAAAGTTGCGATTTGCCAGCCGGAGCTGCAGGAGCACGCTCCGCGTACTACGTTTGTACTTAAAAGCTGCGATTTTCAAGCCGGAGCTGCCGCGGACCAGGGGGGAATCGAACCCGGGACCGCGGGATTGCGAAAGCAGGCGCGCGCACCACGAGACAACTTCCAAAAGCCGTTTCGCGAGCAAGAAAATCGCACGGCGCCACAGCGAGAGCGTTTCGACACGCACGATCTTCGTAGAGGGTTCGCCAAGGTCAAGACAAATTCGCACGGCGCTACAGCGAGAGCGCTTCGACACACAGGATCTCCGCAGAGGGTTCGCCAAGGTCAAGACAAATTCGCACGGCGCCACAGCGAGAGCGCTTCGACACGCACGATCTCCGCAGAGGGTTCGCCAAGGTCAAGACAAATTCGCACGGCGCCACAGCGAGAGCGCTTCGACACTCACGATCTCCGCAGAGGGTTCGCCAAGGTCAAGACAAATTCGCACGGCGCCACAGCGAGAGCGCTTCGACACGCACGATCTCCGCAGAGGGTTCGCCGCGACCAAGACAGATTCGCGCGGCGCCACAGCGAGAGCGCTTCGACACGCACGATCTCCGCAGAGGGTTCGCCAAGGTCAAGACAAATTCGCACGGCGCCACAGCGAGAGCGCTTTGACACGCACGATCTCCGCAGAGGGGTGCGTTTCGTAAGCTCCCGTCGGGCCTACCCCCGCCATAAAAAGAAGAAGAATTAAGAGTCGAGATGTGAAGGTAGAAAAGAAAAGTTAGCTTGTGTCTTTAGGATAATGAGATAACACCCGAAAAGTCGATATGAAGGTAGAGAAGAAAAGTTAGCTTGTGTTTTTAGGATAATGAGATAACACCCGAAAAGTTGACATGAGAAGTTGGCTGGTGAAGTAACTCTCGAAAAGCTGGCATGAGAAGTTGGCAGGTGAAGTAACTCTCGAAAAGTTGGCATGAGAAGTTGGCAGGTGAAGTAACTCTCGAAAAGTTGGCATGAGAAGTTGGCAGATGAAATAACTCTCGAAAAGTTGGCAAGAGAAGTTGGCAGGTGAAGTAACTCTCGAGAAGTTGGCATGAGAAGTTGGCAGGTGAAGTTGGCAGCCGCTTTTAGAAGAAGAACCCTTCGCAATGCTTCCGGGAAAAAACTGGGGAACAGCTGGTTTTTGAAAAGAACGATGGTTGAAAAGAATGGGGAATCAAGCCCTAGAGTGAAGGGTTTATTTCAGGGGCCAACTGTGAACTGCGTCGAGCGGGTGCTCGGAGCATCCCTATCATACTTCTAAGGGGAAGGCAAAAGCCTCAAGTCTTCACGGTTTAGCACATGTGACTCTGGGTCAAAACCAATGGTACCATTTTGGGGTAGGTGCACCACCCATTTTAGAACCTATTTTAGTGGCTGGATTGAATCGGATGTTCACTGGGGGTACGATTTGGATTTTGACCCATGGCCATGTGGCTTCTTGGAAAAAATGCAGACGGTTTAAATGCACAGTTTCCATTGGTGAGAAATACATTGGAGATATGAGAGCCCCTGTTGCAGTTGACATAAAGATGGAGCATATCATGCCCCGCCTTGGTGAATGATTCCATCCCTTGGTGAAATATAGCGACCTCACACGACTGAATTCACCCCTTAAATGGTGGTTTATGTGGGGAATAGCCCCCCAACCACCGCAAGTTTCAGCTTGGTGAAATATTATAATTCACCCAGATCCCTGAGAGTGTCACGCCCCTCATCCATAGCACCCCCAAAAAACCAACCAAGGGGCCCGGGAGATGTGAAGTGGGGGCTGCTTCCCTTGAACCTGTCACTTGGGGTGACTTTGAGAATACCCAAAACACACCGATCCCAGTTGTGGTCGGTTTTAGGTGTTTTTTTTGCGGGGGTGTG